AAAAAAAAAAAAACATACCATAAAAATAAAAAATAACACCTAGCAATATTGTGCCTACTTAAAAGGCAGTGGTATGGCCCTTGATGCAGATTCAAAATTTTTGTAGAAGGATTTGGTCCATTCGTCCAGTAGTCATTGAATTTTTTACAGTTGAATCAACACACATACATGTAGACGTATGTATTAATTCGACAATAAATAGTAGTAAAAATATGGTGACTTGATTACACTCCCGTTGGGTTAGAAATACATTCAAACTCCAACACAACCATTTGCAATTGTTTGTTGAGAAATTTACACCTCTTACGGTTACTTTGCTAAAGAGTATCAATAATACGAATTAAGTATCTTTTAATTATAAATACGAAATATTTATTTCATTATAGAAAATTTAATTAAGATGGTAGTTATCTACTTCCATAATTATCTGTTCTCTCTCTCACACTATATCTCTTTGCGCCTTCATTATCTCTCTCTCTCTCTCACCCTCATCTTTTTCTTCTTTGTTCATTCTTTCGATCTTTGATTTCTTCTTTACAATTTCTCACAACACACAATTTCACAAATTTTAGAAATTGCCTTTCAATTACGGGTCCTTGGAGATCCACTTCGACGGGGCTATGCGGCAGTGCAAAGCACGAGGCCCGGGATGACGAAGGCTCTTGAAGGTGATGCTTGTCTAACTTGAGTGCGTGGTTGTCCGGCCCAACGGCGGTGTGAAAGTAGACGGTTGGAAAAAACTCAAATATTTGCAGCCATCTATTTTCTCGCCTATCGAACTATATGAGAGGGGGTATGAATGAAAACATTCATGGAGGGAAGGCAAAGAAAGCGAACCTTCAAGCCACGACCCAAGTCAAATCTCCATTGTTTAGAATCTCAATTTTTTAATCTCATTTGTTTTAATGTCAAGGTGTATTATGTTTTTATTACTTTTCATAATTGTTTATATATTGTTTATCTTATGTATAATTATACAGTTAATATTAGAAAACTGTCAGATCATGTTTATCTGATGTATATATACAATATATTTGAACACATATTTTGTGGTCATTAGGTAGTATATGTACATTATATCTGATTTTCTTTTTATCAAAGGAGATATCACAGAGAACTATTTTATCTGAATTTTTTGCTTTTCAATCCCTGATATCAAAGGAGATTTTGAAGTCATTTAGAATTGCGTATTATGTTTTAGCCTGTTTCAATGTTGTTTATATGTTGTTTATCTTACGTATAACTATACGGTTAATTTTCACGTCTTTTTACATGTTGTTTATCTTATGTATATATACAGTATATATAAACATATTATCACGATCAATTTCACTAACTCATATTTTGACGGGCGGGCATGATTATTATTTTGGTGGTGAGATAAACAAATTTCTTGGAAAGAGAAGCAATGGATTTTGGAGAGAGAAACGAATTTGTAGCTATCATTAATAGCATGATTTATGTTAATGGCATGTTATTTTGGTGAGAGAAATAGACTTATTGGAAAGAGAAGCATTTGGAGAGAGAAACATATTTGGAGAGAGAATCAACCGTGAATTTCGGTCATGATTAATAAATGGAGAGAGAGAGAAGATGGTGAGAGAAATTAGGTTCTCGTACATATGAAATTAAAATCACCTTTTTATCTTCTTCTGATTAATAATTTGCAGGATTGTATATATGTAAATATTCATACACAGTGTGTTATGTATGTAATTTTCCCTTGTTTGTTTGCTAAAATAAATCCGCTTACGAGGAAAAAAGGCTCCAAAGGCCTAAAGTCCAACAAAATAAATTTGTTTACCAGAATAAATCCACCTATTAGGACAAAGTCCAACCTAAAATAGAGGCCCATCATCTTGGAATCTTTCACTCTCCATTTATTTTTAAGTAAAATAAAGAGCACTGTATTCTGTTCACTTTATATTTGTTAAAAATTTTATTTATTGAAAGCAGAACCTTACGAAAATACAGCCATGGCTCTCTCCCTCTGCTGCTCCGCCAAGTCCTTCGCCGTCCTCATCCTACTCTCCGCCATCCCCATCGCTTACGTCATCCACTCCGAGACATCCGCGCGTGCCACGCACGTGTTCGCCTACCACAGCGGCGGGTGGCTCCGCGAGTGCGCCAAGTGGGACATTCTCAACCGCCGGTTCCTCGTCTCCTTCTTCGAGGGCGGCCTCGGGGTGGTTCCGGTGCAGGAACACCCATCCGAAGACGTTCAACAGGAGATTCCGGTGGTCGGCGGCGCCGGCTTAGGAAGGAATTCGTCGCTGGGGTTAGCCGTCGATCGGCCGAGGAATCGGGTGGTTGTGGCCGTCGCCGATGTAGTTGGGAACAAGTACAGCGCCGTTGCGGCCTACGATTTGACCACGTGGGATCGGCTTTTCCTAACCCAGCTCAGCGGACCAGGTGATTAATTATTCCTCTAGCTGCCCTGCCCCTTTTGCTATAATTAGATAGATTAGATTTAGATGCGATTTTTTGCGTTATGAATTTCTTATGGTAAATGGAGAGTTATAATTTCGCATCAAACTTTAGTGATAATCTGGAAAAATTTTGATTAGAGTCCGAGCTCGAGCTTGCTTGAGGAACTGCTCCAATGTTGTAATTACCTAAATACCCCTCACTAGACACTTTGCAATTGAAATTGTCTAGTCGAAATTGTTTGTTTGGTCACACTGCTCGCCAACTAAACTAAAAGTGGCTGGTGTTAGGTGAAGGTTAATTTAATTGACATGAGATATCTTTTATTTTTTATTTTTTTTTTGTTTTGTTGCACTTAAATTGACATGAGATTTGAATGATAAGTCCGATTGTTTAAATTTAGGGAAATGTTACAGTCTCGTCACAGAACAATTCAATTGAGATTTGTAACTGTTATATCATCATGTAGCCGTTGTGGATAGTTGATCCAATGGTTACAAACTCCGACAAAATAGTTCGTAAATGGACGTAGAATCTCCGTTAAATTTAATATATAAACGGACGAAGAAATAGAGTGATTTTTTTTTAACAATTGCTTATTTTGTGTGTATTATTATTATTATTTTTAAGAGTGCTGCATAGTAGGGTTATTTTATAAATAATATGATAAAGCGAGATCCTCGTGGGTACTTGTCTTTCTTCACCTACTTATATCATTTTCAAATCGTTTGTTGTGTTTTGTGTGTCTCAAACTTATTATTTTCAAATACATTTTATAAAATATATTGATTAATATGGTTAAATACAAAGATTTTCAAAAAATATTATACTTAAAATTACTATATTAGTTTTAACCACAAACCTTCGTCTCGTGTTACGCAGATGAAAAGGCGTGCGCAGACGATGTGGCCATCGACCTACACGGCAACTCGTACATAACCGACACGAAGGGAAACAAGATTTGGAAAGTCGGGCCCAATGGAGAATTGTTATACTCTATTAAGAGCCCCCTCTTTGCTCCCAAAGAGTGGTACCTCAATATAGTCGGACTCAACGGCATTGTCTACCACCCAAACGGTTACTTACTTGTCATCCATACTATAACTGGTAAACTATTCAAGATCGAGTTGATGAATGAGGGTAATAATCATGAAGTCAAAGCGGTCAAACTAGTCGAGGGCTCGTTGAGATTTGGAGATGGGTTGGAACTTTTGTCTCCCACGAGGCTCGTTGTTGCGGGTAACCCTTCACGATTGGTCGAGAGTTTGGATGATTTCGAGAGCGGGAAAGTCGTGGGGAAGTTCGGTGGGGTTACTCATCGTTTGGTTACGGCTGCGACCGTGAAGGATGGGAAAGTGTATCTGAATCATTTGTTTGGTTTGGGGTATCCTAAGAGAAAGCATGTGCTTGTTGAGGCTGATTTTTCTTGAGGAAAGAGGGTTTAGAGAGCTTTTGGTTCAGTTGAGGGGGGGGTAATTTTGCTGCTTTTTTATTTTTATTTTTTTTTAGTGCTTTTATTGAGTTGTGAATTGTGATGCATAAATAATTTCCATGTCGCTAACAAAATTCGAGATGTTCGCTCCTTTGTGCATGGGGTCCACCTCACGAAAACCGTTGAATCCCACCTGGGCGGCATGGGTTCGGGTAAAGGGGTTCATTTTGTTCGTTGGATTGCTCCTAAAGCTGGCACGATTAAAATTAACACAGACGGCTCTCTTTTACCCTCAAGTGGGATGGCGTCTACCGGGGGCCTGGCTCGTGATTCTAATGGTCGCTGGTTAGGGGGGTTTGTAATGAATATTGGGTATTGCTCCATCACCGGAGCTGAGTTATGGGGCATTTTTCACGGTTTGCTGTTAGCCTGGGAGTTGGGTTTCCGTCAGGTCCTGGTTGAAGTTGATAGCATGTGTGTGGTTCGGATGTGACGGGGAATTCGACAGAGCAACTTGGTGTTCATGGTAGCCTGGTGCGGGCTATCAAGGAACTTCTTGGCCGTGAATGGATGACTGAGGTGACTCATTGCTACAGGGAGGCCAATTTTGCAGCCGACTGTTTGGTGACCCTAGCTCATCACTGTCCCAGTGGCTATCAACGGCTTTCTGATCCACCATCGGCATTTAAACCGTGGCTACAGCATGACCTTGTTGGCATTGCTTATCCACGGAATATAATTGTCTAATGGTTCTTAGGCATTTTGCCTCCTTATTTGTACCAAAAAAAAAAAGAACAAATAAAAAAGGAGAAAAATAAAAAGGAAAAAAATTACAAAGGGACAGAGCTGGCCCAATCAAGTCTTGGGCCCATTACTAACGGAAACTCGTAGCCGGCCTTTGATACATTATTACAAAGCTTGTTTATTAGTAGGAGAATGAATAGTAGCAAGACCAAGAAACATGACATCTGCTCCTAACCCTACAATGGCATCTTGTTAAATACTAAGCTAAAGAAATAGGAAAAAGATATGGTGATAAGACAACTGTCTAAGCGCCACCAATCAATCCCTAAACACGTGTAAATTTAAATAGTATAATAAATGATCAATACGGTTTGAGACATGCATGTGATTTTTACAGCCTAAATGCCAAAAGCTAAAGCACAGGCTGTGATAATGTTTCTGCACAAAATGAGATTTAAAAAAA